TCTCTACCTGGACATGAAATGGAATGTTTATACTATACTCTTGGATTCATTTTGCTATAATTCTTATGAGGATTTTGCATCCATATTGGTAAAGAATATTGGTCTGTAATTTTTTTCTTGTGGTATATATATCAGGATTGGGTGTCAAGGTAATGCTGACCTTGTAGGATAAGTTGGGAAGTTTTCTCTCCTTTTCTGTCTTTTGGAAGAGTTTGGAAAATATTGGCATTAGTCTTTCTTTAAATATTTTCTAGAGGAGAGATCCAAGATGGTGTCAGAGTAGGTGTATACTCACCTCCTCCAAAAACCAAACTGGAATTACAACTAAGATATAGAACAGTTAACCCGAGTAACCAACCAAAGACTAGCTGAACAGAAGTCTTATAACCAAGGATTTATAGAAGAAGCCACATCAAGACTGGTAGGAAGCACAGATACTCGAAAAGGGCTGGCCCTGTTCTCATGGGGCAGGCCTGAGAATCTGGAGGGCTATCTCAGCAGCAAATTTTCTCCCTGAGGAGTGAGAGGTGTCAACCCCACACTGGGCTTCTCAGCCCACAGCACCAGAGCCAGGAAAATATCCCACATGGCTTCTGGCTGTGAAAATCAGTGGGAATTCTGACTGCCAGGAATTAGCAGGAACCTGCTAGAAACCCAGGCACCCTCTTAAAAGGCCAGCACACAAAAATCTCATCCACAACCACACACCCTGGGCTCTGGTGATGGGAGGGCAGAGCAGACTAGAGTCACGTGGGGAGAGGCAGGGGTTTGTGGCTCTTGGGAGAGAGCTGAAGGGATAGCCACCAGGATCCCTGTGCTGAGTCCCTCTCCCATACCATAGAAGTCATCTTTCTTGAATGGAGTACTCCCTTACAGCATCAGCCTGGGAGAATGCACTAGCCCTACCCTCTGGACTCACTGTCACCTCACCCTGCAGAGCTCACTCTCTGCTGAGGAATCAACTACCTGGGAAGGGATGTAGAGATCCGGGGAGGCTCAGACAGTGTCACTGATTGAGTTTCGTGGCTCTGGAGACAGAGCCTTCCCCCAAGCCTGACTGATGCTCCCCATCATGGGAGATCCACTGGCCCCACCCTCCCAACTCTCAGCAGCCCTGCCTGGCTGAGCTTGAACTCCTGGCAGAATCTGGAACACAATGAGTTGTGTGGCTCAAGGACAGGGGCCATTTTCCCCTCACACATCTGATTCGTATTGAGCCCTCCCTTCACAGGGCCAAATCTTGGCCCGTTTGGGCCTTATAAACTCTGCTGGCCTCACCCTGACAATTTTGTGAGACCCTGCCCTTCCACAAAGGTCAGTGGGCACCTGGAGGATGGCAACTAGACTTGGTATACCCTGGGACATTTGCTGAGTGGCCACAGACCCAACACTGACACCAAGATTGAACCTGTATCGGTCTGGTGAACACTACCTTCCCCTACCTGGTGACTCACTGAGTCCCTTCCCCATGAAACTCTAGTACCACCAGAGACACTTTCAGTGACTGAGCCAAACAGGCTGCGGGAGGTAGAGGAAGGCAGAGGCAGATCTCAGATGCCTTGGACCTTTTACTGACCTGCCCCCTGGTGGAAGCCAGCCACGGTTTACAGCTTGGTCCTTCCTATGCACACCAAGGCCCATTAGAGACAGCCACAAACTGTACTTCCAAACAGGTTGCCCAAGGCCAGTCACAGGCAGCATCTGGCATTGACCTGCACCAGAGTCCTCCCAAGAGCCCCCAGAACAAATACATCTGCTTCAAACAACATCAGAGCAGGATTGAATTAGCTGCACAAGTGGCACATCCAAAGGGAGATGTCAACAGGCACCAGGCCCTGCTGAGGCGAACCAGCACCCGCACAGCAGCTCATGCACTATAGTCATGTTCAGTCTCCACAGTCAGCCAGCCTATGGGTTGACCCCATGCACAGATAGGCCAACAGCAATCAAGACTCAATTACAATAGGAAGGCTTACATAACCCATAGAAGGGACATTCCTGTAGCACCTTGCTTGGGTGATCAGGAAGACTGTGCTATTGAGCCTCATAGGACACCAACCACATAAGGCCCTTATAGCAAGACTGGGAAACACAGCATATCTAACTAACACAGAAACAAATACAGAGGCAGCCAAAAATGGGTAGACAAAGAAACATGCCCAAACAGTTATAATAAGACAAAGAAGGAAACTACATAATAATAAAGGGATCAATTCAACAAGAGGATATAACTCTTGTAAACATTTATTCATCCAACATAGGAGCACCTAAATACATAAAGCAAATCTTGATGGACATAAATGGAGATGCTGGCAATAATACAATCATAGTATGGGACTTCAACATCCCATTCACATCAATGGATAGAGCTTCCAGACAGAAAGTCAACAAGGAAACAACTGCCTTAAGTGACGCATTAGATCAGATGGATTTACTTGATATCTTCAAAGCATTTCACCACAAAGCAGCAGAATATACATTCTTTTCAAAGTGCACACGGAACACTTTCCAGGATAGACCACATTTTAGGACACAAAACAAGTCTCAATAAGTTTAAGAAGATTGAAATCATAGCAACATCTTCTCTGACCATAACGGTATGAAACTAGAAATCAATCACAAGAAAAATATGAAAAACACAAGCACCTGGAGGCTTAATAGCATGTTACCAAACAATGAATGGGTTAACAATGAGATAAAGGAAGAAATCAAAAGATACCTTGAAACAAATGAAAACAGGAACACAACAACCTAATATTTATGGGACGCAGTGAAAACATTCCTAAGAAGAAAATTCATAGCATTACAGGCCTACCTGAAAAAGCAAGAAAATTTTCAAATAAACATTCTAACTTAACACTTAAAGAAACTAAAAGAAACTAGAAAAAGAACAATCAAAGCCCAAAGTGAGTAGAAGAAAAGAAAAAATAAGTATCAGAGCAGAAATAAACAAAATAGAGTCTAAAAAAATCAATGAAACCAAAAGTTGGTTCTTTGAAAAGATAAGATTGACAAACCTTTTTTTTTCTTAATCCTCGCCTGAGGATATTTTTCCATTGATTCTTAGAGAGAGTGGAAGAGACAGGGAAAGACAGAGAGAAACATTGATGTCAGAGAAATACATCGATTGATTGCCTCCTGCATGAGCCACTACCAAGACCCAGGCCGGGGAGTAGGTATGTGCCCTTGACCGGAATCGAACCCAGGACCCTTCAGTCCACAGGCCTATGATCTACCACTAAGCCAAACCAGCTAGGGCAAGATTGATAAACCTTTAATCAAGCTCATCAAAAAAGAGAGAAGATCCAATTTTTAAAAATTCTTCATAATACTATAACTCTGATGTGTGATTCAGGGTGGGGCAAAAGTAGGTTTATAGTTGAGTACATGAAACAAAGTTCATTCTTGTATTATTATTATTTATTAAGTATTGTATTATTTCCCATATGAACAACTGTTAACCTATTTTTGCCCCATCTTGTATAACAAACACATTGATTCTTATTTCAGGGTATTCAAGTAGATACAGAATGCCAGGTATTTTATGAGAGATGATTTTCAACTTTCTTTGCACTGTATACCATGTTTTAATTCTAGGCCTTTGGAATTGGCATTAGTACCATACTTCTCAAACTGTGTTCCTTTTCCCTTAAATATGTCATGTGCTTTTCTCTAGAATGTAGACATGTCAAGGTCCTAAATTTCACATGTTGGATATCAACATTTTTCTCATAAATTCACACATAAGGAATCATTCATTAATGCCCAGCAGTTCACACATGCACACAGAGCCCAGAGTATTTTTTAACCCCTTCCCCAATAATTTTTTTGTTAAAAACGTTTCTTTTTCAGACTAATTTTTTTATTTTGGTTCTATATAGTATTTTTGATGCTGGTTATGAAAACAGTTTGTAACTCGTCTTCCTATAAACCATATTTTTTTTACCATATTTTCTTAGTATACTCGTCGACGACTGAAAAAGAACATTTTGTGAAAACGAGTATACACGTTTCTGCCGGGGAAGGGGTTAAATTTATTGGGGTGACATCGGTTAGAGCATTTGACTGCAGAGCCCACATTCTTGGAAAACCATTGGGACCAGTGTGTAAGCTGCCGATTCCCAGTCCTCTTGACTCTGCCCTAAGTTAGTGCTTCTCCAATTTTATGTTCTGATTCAGTAGATTTAGAATAAGGCCCAAGATATTACATTTCTAATTGCTTCCAAGTGCTGCTGATGCTACCGGTCTGTGGCCCACCCTGGATTAGCAAAGCCCTAGCTGGCTTCCTCAACATTGATGAACTTTTTATGGGGCCCAAAATAGACTACTTTACCTGCCCAGACCCAATTTCCCTTGTTCCATTCCTCTTCCTGACATTTTTCTCCTTCTTGAACTCTATCCTGACATCTGTCTAGCCAAAATGGTTTTGAATGTTGGATGCTTTTGAGAAATGCACAAAGGAAAATATGATTGGGAGGAATTGCTTTTTGTCTTCACTTTCCATGTATCTGTGCTAATCCCTCTCTACAGGTCTTCTTTGGCAATGTGGATTCGTCTGGAATAAAACACAATATTTTTAACCCTCCAATTATTGCTCGGTACATCCGTTTGCACCCAACACACTACAGCATCCGCAGCACTCTCCGCATGGAGTTGCTGGGCTGTGATTTAAACAGTAAGTGCCACGTCATCCCATATCCTTCCATCTCCCAACCATGAATAGAATAATTAATAGTCCTAGTTTTCCAGAGGCTGCGGGTTTTCTCAGCACATAGAACTATTAATGCTAAAACCAGCAGAGTCCTGGGCAAACCCAGGACTTGGTCATTCTTTTTTAAAAATATGTATTTGTATTGATTTCAGAGAGGGAGAGGGAGAGAAAAGCATCAATGATGAGAGAGAATCGTTGATCGGCTGCCTCCTGCACTCCCCACACTGGGGATCAAGCCCACAACCCTGACCTGGAATCGAACAGTGACCTCCTGGTTCATAAGTCAGTGCCCAACCACTGAGCCATGCCAGCCGGGCAAGATTTGGTCATTCTAACCATGGGATTCCTCATGGGCAGCCTACTGTACTATTAACAAGGCAAATAAGTCAAAGTCAAAGCTGAGATCTGACCAGAAAAAAGGGGGGCATGTTACCAATAACAGAATCAATGCAAAAGTTAATTCCTGGGAAATGACGTCATGATGACAGTAGTCCTCAAGTGCCAGCGGAGGCAGGCTAGTGGGACCAGGGCTGCATCTTGTCCTTGCGATTACATTCTCCTTTCGTTTCCCTCAGGCTGCAGCATTCCACTAGGAATGGAAAATAAAACAATAGCAGATGCACAGATTACTGCCTCCTCCTACTTAAACAATGTGTTTGCCACCTGGTCTCCTTCACAAGCCCGGCTTCACCTCCAGGGGAGGACTAATGCCTGGAGACCCCGGGTAAGAGGCAACAAATGTTCTATTCAACTGCGGCTGCGTGGGAAGTAGTGGTTGGGAAAGAATGAAGACAGCCCTTGACTGTTTCCACAGAGGTATTTATGTCACCTGGTTGTTCCCCAAGAGTGTCAAGGAAGGTTGACTGTGGGCAGAAAAACCCACAGATATTTAGCGGTGTCAAACACACAGCATTCATCGGGGGAAATGATCCCTAATTGGAAACGGAATCTGTAGATGCAGTTCTAGGCTAATATCTGTCATAGAATTCTAGCTGAAGTCCAGTTTCACGGAGAGAAGTATCAATAATTAGCTCTTTATGCAGATTTCTCAGCGTCTCAAAGGAAAGGGTCACAGTCATGGAACAGTTCATTGGGCACAATTCTTTTCCAGAACCACTCAGTCTGTGAGTTTTCAACCATTGACTAGCTTTTGGGGATGAATGGAGCTAATGGTGTCTGCTCCTTCAGGGGCTTAATTTATTTTATTTTTAAATATATTTTTATTGATTTCAGAGGGGAAGAGAGAGACACATCAATGATGAGAGAGAACCCTTGATTGGCTGCCTCCTGCACGCCCCACACTGAGGATCAAGCACGCAACCCAAGCATTTGCCCTGACTGGGAATTGAACCGTGACCTCCTGGTTCATAGGTTGGTGCTCAACCGCGGAGCCACACCAACCAGACTAGGGGCTTACTTTAAACAAAATAGGTTATATAACACATGGCTAAACTTAATAAATAGCCAATCTCTATATGGCTCATATATTCATCCATCAAACATTTACTAAGTATCTATTCAATAGCTGACCCTGGGGATACTGAAATGAATCATGAAGAATGATAGCCCTCAAGTTACTCAGAGTCTAAGAAGGGGGACTGACAAAGAGACAATTAAAACGCAGAGTGTAAGTGCTGTGATGTGCTTAATAAGAAAGAATTCGGGATTTCTGGGAGCAAATCCTGACCAAGGGGAAACTAGTCTAACTAACTAGTTTATTCCTCAGGTGAATAGTCCACAAGAGTGGCTGCAAGTGGACTTCCGGAAGACAAGGAAAGTCACAGGAATAACCACCCAGGGTGCGAAATCTCTCCTTACCAACATGTATGTGAAGGAGTTCCTCATCTCCAGCAGCCAAGATGGCCATAACTGGACTCCGTGTCTTCAGAATGGCAAAGTAAAGGTATGCTGCTCTCATAGGAAAGGCACAACCCTGACCTAGAGCTTGACATTTAAGAGCACAGCAAGGTTGATATAGGAACAAACTTACAGGATAAACTTCACCGAGTATCTGTAGTAATAGGACACCATGAAAAGCATTTGGGAAGGACACAGTGACTCTAGGCAAGGATGTATAATCCCCAGAAAAGGGCAGAGTAGAGCCCAAAGTTGATTTTCCTCATGAATTTTCATGTCATCCAGGATTGTGACAAGAAGCAGAGGGGTAAAGAAGAATGACAGGTATTTCCCAAAGGCTTCATGGTGTCTGTATCCCTCATCAGCAACTTAGATTCCCAAGCCTCATTGACCTTGAACTTTAGTGACCCAGACAGTCTTCCTTCTTGATGTTGATTTGCTAGATACGTCAATAAATTATGCTAATTAGAGGACGTAGTGTACCAGTAAAGTCTTGCTATCTCATGAGTTATGAGGGGATGTATAATTCATCTGTATGGTGTCTTTTATCTTCTTTTTCACCAAGAATGATGTGGCCCTTACTAATCTCTCTAGTACAGACTCTTGCCACCTGCTCCTTTGCTCTCTAAGCTCCACCCAGACTAATAAACTCCCAGGTGCCTAAAAATTGCATGTTCCTTCTGACAACAGGCTTTTACACATACCATTTCTTCTACCTGGAACATTTTTTTTTCTAGGGATTTCCCACTGTCCCTGTCACCTTGCTCATCCTTTAAAAGTCTCAGATAAACATCATCTCCTCCAAGAATCCCCTGGCCTCTTAAGGCTGAATGAAAGACTTAGGGTATAGATAATATACACTCTGGAGGATATTCTGGATGAACTTTGAAAACATTATGCCGAGTTAAATAGGCCAGACATAAAAGGGCAAATATTGTATGATTCCACGTACACAAGTAGTAGTCAGGGTTCTCCAGAGAAACAGAACCAATAGGATGTGCATGTGTGTGCCTATGTACATGGGAGTGTATGTATAAAGAGATTCATTATAAGGAATTGGCTCACAGGATTATGGAGGCTGACAAGTCCCCAGATCTACAGGGTGAATCCGAAAGCTGGACACCCAGGAGAGCCAATGGTCTAGTTCCCATTTAAGTCCATAAAATCACTTTAAAAAGAGATTGAGCCGAAACCGGTTTGGCTCAGTGGATAGAGCGTCGGCCTGCGGAATGAAGGGTCCCAGGTTCGATTCCGGTCAAGGGCATGTACCTGGGTTGCGGGCACATCCCCAGTGGGGAGTGTGCGGGGGGCAGCTGATCGATGTTTCTCTCTCATCGATGTTTCTAGCTCTCTATCTCTCTCCTTTCCTCTCTGTAAAAACTCAATAAAATATATTTTAAAAATAAATAAATAAATAAAAAGAGATTGAAAGTATGTGTGGCTAGAGGCCGCAGATTTGAAAAGGCATTTGTTTCTGGTGTAGGGGGTTACATATCTTTCAGGCTTTGTGATGAACAAAAAGAATTCAAATGGTGAAAATTAAGTGTCCTGTAAAAGCAAAAACAAATCACAAAATCACAAGAAACAAACCCCTTACTGGCCCATCTAGTAAGAAATAGAGTGCACTTCACTTTATCAACAGTAGGGGGTACTCCTGGACTAAGAAACGTAATAGGTCGCCCAAACCTTTTATAAAACCACCTTTATAACCACCTTTTATAAAACCTTTTCTAAAACCACCTCTTATTGTACGAGAAAAAATAAGGAATTTCTAAATGAACAGACAATGGCAGATGAGGTAAAGGGTATTATTGTTTGTCCTTGCTTTTCCATTCCCTCCTTCCTTGAAAACTCCATTGACTTTGGGCTTGGCAGTAGTACTCCTTTTGACGAATGAAATGGAAATGTAGTAGGTAGACATGACATACACCACTTCCAAACAGAAGCCTTCCATGTGATTGCACGTTTGACTCATCTTGTGTCTCTGCCTTCTGCCATACGATAAAAATGTGGAAGAAATGACAAAATTAGGAAATCAATTTGCAACTATCAGCGTGCTATTGAATGCTTGCAGGGAACTTTAAGGGATGCCAAAACCACTGGTTGAAAGCCTGATGGGGAACTGAATATTTACATCGTTTCACACATTGTTGGCCAGGAAAGGGAGATAGCTACCTCTATCACAGAGAGCTGGTGGGCACCACTTTAACCAAGTGGTCAAACTTGTGTCAATAATGGGACCAGCTGGTATTATGTGTCCCCTGATGCGGTGTGATGGGAAGTACACATCACCTACTTAGTATTCGCACTGAAAATGTTTAACCAAAACCTAATAACGAGAAAACAGTCTCACAAATTTAGAATGTAGGACATTCTATAGCACAATGGTGCTGGACGTTTTTAAAAATACCAATGCCCCGCCCTAGCTGGTTTGGCTCAGTGGATAGAGTGTCAGCCTGAGGACTGAAGGGTCCCAGGTTTGATTCTGGTCAAGGGCACATGCCTGGGTTGCGACCTTGATCCCCAGTGTGGGGCATGCAGGAGGCAGCCGATCAATGATTCTCTCTCATCATTGATGTTTCTATCTCTCTCTCCCTCTCTTTTTCTCTCTGAAATCAATAAAAATATATATTTTTTTAAGTGCCAATGCCCCAAATTTCCAAAGTAAATTTTCCAAATCCAAATAAGTCAATAAATAAATAAAGTCAATGTCATGAAGGTCAAAAAAAGACCAGAGAGTAGGAGTCTCTTCTATATTAAAGAGATATGATAAACAAATGCTATGTGAGATCTTTTACTAAATTCTGGATTAGAAAACTATATGAAGATAACATTGTGATATCAATAATACATTTGTTGGGTATAATAATGTTATCCTGTGGTTATGTAAAAGAATGACCTTAGTTTTATTTGGTAAATATATTTTTATTGATTTCAAAGAGGAAGGGTGAGGGTGAGAGAGAGAGAAACAACAATGATGAGAGAGAATCATTGATCGGCTGCCTCCTGCACGTCCCCCACTGGGGATCGAGCCTGCAAACCAGGCATGTGCCCTTGACTGGGAATCAAACTGTCATCTTCTGGTTCATAGGTCAACACTCGACCACTGAACCACACCGGCCGGGCAAGACATAGTATTTAAACCAAGACCCAAAGGATAAAAATGGGATAACAGGAGGGGTAAGAGCATTCTCAGCACTGGAAACCACCTATACAAAGGCTCTCATGATAAAAGGAGTTGGCACTGTCCAGGAGCTAAAGACGAAGGCCTCCACAGCAGCAAGCTGAGTGCCCTTAATTCTAGATGTCACACTCACTTCTCGTGTTGGGAAACATAATTTTTTTCCTGCCGGACAACAAATAAATGCTGTCATTCCTCTTTCAGGTTTTTCAGGGAAATCAAGACTCCCTCACACCTGTGGTGAATTCGCTAGACCCACCGCTCCTGACACGCTACCTGAGAATTCACCCCCGGAGCTGGGTGAACCACATTGCCCTGAGGCTGGAGATTCTGGGCTGCGAGACACAGCAGCTGTCCTGAGCAGGACAAGAAATACAGTATGAGCCCTGCTGGCGTGGCTCAATGGTTGAGCGTCGACCTATGAACCCGGAGGTCACAGTTCGATTCCTAGTCAGGGCACAGGCCCGGGTTGCGGGCTCGGTCCCCAGTGTGGGGCGTGGAGGAGGCAGCCGATCCATGATTCTCTCTCATCATTAGTGTTCTGTCTCTCTTTCTCCCTTCCTCTCTGAAATCAATAAAAATATGTTTGAAAAACAGAAATAAAGTATGAGAACTTTGGCATTTTCAAGGGACTAGTTCTGAGACCGTCATAAATTCTCCTGATCCAATGAAACCACTATAACATAGAATTCCCGTCATAAAATGTAGTAAAATACAATGGTTTGTATAGTATCCAATCATAGGGTTGTCTTAAGTGCCCCTCCCACCGCTATTAACATGGCACCACTAGCATAACCAACCATCCCAGTTTGGCCTGGACTATCCCGGTTAAAGCAAAGCCCTTGCCGATCTCTTTGCCCCTCTTTCCTGGGCCCAGAGCGTTCCCTAACTCCAGTCCAACATGCCTCTCAGACTTGCCTTCTACCTGTGAGCCTGGCCTCTGGGTTACTTCGTGCCCTGCACTGCCCTTGGCACTATCATTTTCCTGTGTATTGAAAGGATGCAGCCCGGCCAGTGTGGCTCAGTGGTTGAGTGTTGACCTATGAACCAGGAGATGACAGTTCGATTCCTGGTCAGGCACATGCCTGGGTTGCAGGCTCAATCTCCAGTAGGGGGGCGTACAGGAGGCAGCTGATCGATGATTCTCTCTCATCATTAATGTTTCTATCTCCCTCACTCTTCCTCTCTGAAATAAAAACAATGTTTAATATATTTATTGATTTCAGAGAGGAAGGCAGAGGGAGAGAGAGAGTGATAGAAACATCAATGATGAGAGAAAATCATGGATCAGCTGCCTCCTGCACGCCCCATACTGAGGATCAAGCCCACAACCCGGGCATGTGCCCTTGGCCGGAATCGAACCCAGGACCCTTCAGTCCACAGGCCGACGCTCTAACTACTGAGCCAAACCGGCTAGGGCTAAACATATATTTTTTTTAAAAAAGAAACACAGTCCAAGCAGACACTGCCCTGAAGCTTCCCAAAGCACTTGTCATTAAGCCTGCACTTTAGGGGAGTGTTGCATACTATTTAATTCTTAAGCATTTCTGCAGCTGCTAGAAGACTGGTCTTTCCTTCCATGTAGTCAGGCAAAAAGATATATCTGAGGAAACCCATCTGGAAAGCATTCTCCGCTGACAAATGGGGCCTCTCCCACAGCCACCACTTCCTCCTCTGTAGAAAAACAATGTATCTAAACTTGGCGGAGGCTTGGAACATTGAAAATAAAACTCTCACTTTTTTATTATCCTGGTCAAACATGGAGCAACACATATTTGGGAATCAGATCATCACAGTCTGGAAGTTAAAAGGCAAGTCATTTTGACATCCTGCAAAATGGAGATAATATAAGAACGACTCCGTTAAAGTCTGGTTTTGCCTCCTTAAAAATAGATGTCTTATTTAGCCATCTTGGGGCACTGTTAGTGGTATATTCTTACCTCAGAAACTAGTGTTCTAGCCCAGCCAGCATGGCTCAGTGGTTGAGCGTCGACCTATGAACCAGGAGGTCACGGTTCGATTCTAGTCAAGGGCACATGCCCAGGTTTCAGGCTCAATCAATAAAAAATTATATATAATGTTCTTTTTAATTATATTTATTTCACAGAAGAAGGGAGAGGGAGAGAGAGATAGAAACATCAATGATGAGAGAGAATGATCGATCGGCTGCCTCTTACAGCCCCACCGGGGATTGAATCTGCAACTTGAGCATGAGCCCTTGACCAGAATCAAACCCGGGACCCTTCAGTCGGCAGGCCAATGCTCTATCCACTGAGCTAAATAAGCTAGGGCTAAAACTAGTGTTCTTAAACTGAGGCTCATAGATGGGATTCAAGAGCCCCCAAATCCCTGGATTAGGTACATTTATGTATGAATGCATATGTGTGTTTTCTGAAAAGAGTGCCAAAGACTTAAGAAGATTTTTAAGGGCACAGGGCTTTACAAATATCAGAAAAGTGTAGAAATGAAGCCATTTGGTCTTAATTCTAATGAACAAAAAATATAATAGGTTAGGATCGCTAATACAAGAATAAACTCTGTGTTTTGTGTACTCACAACTGTAAACCTCCCTTTGCCCCACCCTGCACAATCTCAGTCCACAGCTGATCAAAGTGCAAATGATTTATGGTCCTATAAGTTTCTTTTAAGGTTAAAGGTTAACTTACAGGAATCAATGACTCGTTTTGCTTTATAGCCTGGTAGAGAAGTTAACCCCAAAGGTGATATGGCTTTATTTCTGTAAAAGGTTAAACACTCATGTCTAATTTATTAATTTTTTTACGGGTTCCAAAGGGAAATGCTACAGAGTATTTCATCGATTCACAGTTAACAGTTTTGTGAGAGGATCTTCAGGGACCTCTGTGCCGCAAAGTGCATTATAAAAGGCCATCGCTACTCATGCTATCTTTGACGAAATCTGAAATAGTATAATTTAATAATCTGCTTTTGACATTCTTTTCCCATTGACTATATATACATCTCAGTTAAATAAGACATTGACACATAAACAAATGGCCTTTGAGAGTTGTGTTTTACCCTTGAAATAAAAATGTAAATGATGATATTTTTAAAAAGAGAGGCACTGCCCGGTCAGTGTGGCTCAGTGGTTGAGCATCAAACTATGAACCAGGAGGTCATGGTTGGTTCAATTTCTGGTCAGGGCACATGCCCAGGTGGCAGGCTCGATCCCCAATGTGGGGAGTGCAGGAGGCAGCTGATCAATGATTCTCTCATCATTGATGTTTCTATTTCTCTCTCCTCCCTTCGTCTCTGAAATCAATAAAAACATATTTTAAAAAATAAATAAATTACTGAGTTAGGAAATCATATTAAATTGAACTCACAGTAAAAAGTGATATAGCCAAAATAAAATTTTTTAAATTAAAAATGAAGTCTTGATCCAAAAGAGCTTATATACAGGGAGACTGAGAGCGCAATGGGGAATTTCTGTCCAACAAGTATAGTTTCCGTTATGCTACATGAATAAGTACTAGAGATCTGCCATACAGCATAGTTTCTATAGGTAATAAGGTATTGTGCCCTTCAAAAGTTATTAAGAGGATAGATCTCATGTTAAGTGTTCTTACCGTGATAAGAAATTGAAAGTCCTGAAGGAAAGATCAGAATGGATGTGGTCAAATAAAACAATATAAAAATTTTTACTTGAGATAAAATAATAATAATAAAAAATGTGAATCTTCAGATTAAATAGAGTCTCTTAGTACAAGGAAGGATTAAGGAAAGACCAGAACAGAACATAGCCAAGAAGCAACTGGATTTACACTAAGAATCCAAAACAGCCAGGAATTGGTGGCTTTGGTTAACTCTGGAAATGGAAGCACAGGTGACATGCTAAATAGCTTGAGGAACTGTTGAATTAGACAGTTTGAAAAGTAGTTTAATCCTACAGTTAACAATTTTCTATTCAGTTCCACACAGCAACATGAGTAGAAATTGATTCTCTCAAGAGGTTAGGAGAGAAGATCTAAGAAAAGGGAGGCACCAGGCATGATCAAGAAAGAGACGCTTACTCAGTTAGCATTCTCTCCTTCCTTACCTCACAGATAGGAGTTACCATACCAGCAGGAGTAAGTGACCCTGGTATTCATGAGAAGTCAGGGCTGTGCTACACAATAGGGGCAGAGAGTAATACCTACACTGGGCACTCAAAGGAACAGCGGGTATTTCTGAGGACTAAGTGCAGCAGTGGGGCTTGTGGCTTATCCCATTAACCCTCCTTTTATAAGTTTTCTAGAGATTGTGACCAATCAGAACCTTGGAGAAGATGTCATATATGTTAGAAAATGCATTATCTAATTCAGGGGTCCTCAAACTTTTTAAACAGGGGGCCAGTTCACTGTCCCTCAGACCGTTGGAGGGCCGGACTATAGTTTTAAAAAAAACTATGAACAAATTCCTGTGCACACTGCACAGCTCTTATTTTGAAGTGAAAAAACAAAACGGGAACAAATACAATATTTGTATTTGCACGGGGCCCGCGGGCCGCAGTTTGAGGACCCCTGGTCTAATGTGTCATTAATCTTCTTTCTTTACAATATTTTACCGTATGAAAGCTTTATATTTTTTATGCAATACATTTATCAGTATTTTCATGACTTTTTGGGTTTTATGACATGCTCAGAGTAGCTTCTTCCACACTGATTATAAAAACATTCACCCATAATTTATTTCAATATGTATAGGATTTTACTTTTGTTTAGTTCTTAATCCATCTAGAATTTCTTTTTGTGCATAGGGCTCTCACTTTAACGCATCCAAATGGGTAGCTAATCATTATATTAAATCATCCTTTTTTTCCCTCTACTGATGTAAAATGCCACCATTTTCATCTATTAAAGTTCCATATATACACTATTGTAAACTGTAGTAGCTACCATGTGGCAAGTAAAATATCTTAGAATTCTTCACGTGTTAAGAGGCTACAGCTACTGTAAGGATGGGTTTCAGAATCAATGCAGGTGTTTATGCATAGACAGAAAAAGATGTCTGTATGCCTAACTGTCAAATGGACAGAGGCTGGGGAGGGTCAAATGCAGTAATGATGTCATAAGGAGTGGTAGAATTCTATTTGGAACTTCAGAGACGTAAGGGGGAGACCGTTACTAGCTTCTTCCGTTGTACTTTGAAGGCTGAGGTCAAATTCACTGCTTCTTTGGATCTGTTGGTGGTAAGTCAATTTTCAGGTAAGTGGTTTCCCACCTAACATGGCTGTCTTTGAACCCTATGACATAGTGGATGAGTGTATCAGTTATAAATGTCTTAAGTAACAGAAACCCCAAATTCCAGTGACTCAAATAGGGGGTTATCTTTCTCATACAAGCAGTCTTGAGGTAGGCAAATGGACATGTTGGTTTAGTGGCCTGAAGTTGTCAGAGCCAGAATGGATGTCACTTTCTTGACCTTTTTCTCATGTGCATTGCCTCATGGTCA